GTCTTGTTTGAATGACCCTGGAAAGGGAGGAGGCGGAGATGATGGAGCTTCGGTGGAGGCTTTGCCTGCGCTATCCTCATACTCAGCAGGTGGACAATTCATTCCAAACTGGTCCCTCTAAGACACGGAACACTGCAGCTTTAACAGCTTTATCTACATCCCAACCAGATCTCCCTTTTTTCCCCCCCATAAATTATCCAAAAAGAAGCCACTCTAAATAATAAATTAAATATTACTTATAAAAAGTACACCCCATACCCAACCCACCCGGCCCCCAAACAAGCTGACAATTCATAAAGTTCAGAATTGTCAGGTTTCCCCTATAATAATAAAAAACAGCATTTCTCCTCCTCCTCAACATTCCTTTCTTGCATCTGAAAATACTTTCAACACAGGGAGATCCCTTGGCCCATGCGTCTGTGTTTCTGACCTCTTGTAGAGTTTTGCTGCTGTTCTCCTACCAACCCCAAATCATAGGATGACAATGTACGAAGGCTGTCCACTGAGGGCAGGAGGAGAAACCCTTCAGAGAGTGCCCTCGAAGCATGCCACATGAGCGTTACCCGCAGCAGGCCTGGGCAGGGCAGAGGTGACATTCGCTGTTGCTGTGGGCGTGGTGTCGGTCTCCTACATCACCTCACTGACCAGGAAACACTCAGGCATTTCTTTTCTGAATCAATACCCTTTGGAAACGGCTCCTTGGACGGCAAGTTACATTGAGACATGGGGGCGCCTACTTTTCAATAGAATGGACTATCATCCAAAACTCTTATCTGTGACTTTCCCAGGTATCCAATTTCCTTTAAAACATCAGAATCCAGGGGCAGGCTGTTCTGTCCACTATTAAAGTGATTTCTGAAAGTTGCTAGAGAAATACGAATTGTGAGTAAAGGGCTTCTTTGGAATAATTTTTAAAAAGAGAGAGTGCAGGTCTGAGTGTAGGAGAGCTTCCGTCACTCCGGAATGTGGTGGGCGCGGTGTGGGGATACTAGCCTGGCCTTTCGGGTGGTCTGCGGTTGCATGAAGCAAACGGTAAGAGGGAGGAAAAGCAATCGTGTCCCATAGCTGTTGCAAAAGTTCAGATGATTTTGTTTTCTAAAAACACATCTAAAATTAGGGAGTTTTTCTGTGTGTTTTTTCCCCCCTCAAGACTAAAAAGAGACACTAAAATTATAAGAAATCTGTCTGGGCTACAATTTTATCTAAAATGGAAAGGTGACCTCTTTATAGAGGACTATTTTTTGGTCAGAATTACAGTCCAACTGCCATGTGTGAGACACTCTATTAAAAGTAGAGAAAACCTGCCCTAGCTGGTTTAGCTAAGTGGATAGAGCATCAGCCTGTGGACTGAAGGGTCCCGGGTTTGATTTCGGTCAGGGGCACATGCCTGGGTTGTGGGTTTCATCCCCAGCAGGGGGCGTGCAGGAAGTAGACAATCAATGATTCACTCTCAGCATTGATGTTTCTCTCTCTCTCTCCCTCTCCCTTCCTCTCTGAGATCAATAAAAATATATTTTAAAAAAAGTAGAGAAGACCTGAAGATGCTTCTTTAAACAAAGTCAACAGACAGATAAATCCAAAGGGCGGAGAGCCCTGGCTGGTGTGGCTCAGTTGGTTGGGCATCCTCCTGTGCACCAAAAGGCTGCTGGTTCAATTCCCAGTCAGGTCACATGACTGGGTTGTAGGCTAAGTCCCAGTAGGGAGCATACAGGCAGCAGCCTATCGATGTTATACTCTCACATTGATGCTTTTCCCTCTCCCTTCCTCCCTGTCTCTAAAAGAGCAATAAACTATAAAAAGGGGGGAGGGGATAAAAATGAGTAACCGTCTTCAAGCACAGACTACAAAAGCTTCTGGAAAGACCTGTACTTAGAGATTATTTATTGGAAAAGCCAGTGAGTGCCAAAGCTTGATATGCTTATCTTTTTTTCCAGATTGCTCAATTGAACGTGTATTTTATAACACCCAAATGTAAAGTCCCATTATTTAAATATTCTAGAAGCTTCTAACTCTGTTCTACAAGGAGGTAGCTATGACTGGTTTCTTACTGAATGTGAATCACTGAGAAATACTTAACTTTTGGCTGGACTAGAGCATCATCCAAACATGCCTTATGCCTTTTGAACTACCCATGAGCTTTATCAGAAAGAAATGCAAAATAAAAATACCGAAAGCTTTCCAGAGGCGGCTCTTGCCTGACAGGTCAGCACAGGGCAGGGGAGGCCCGAGCACGCCCTGCCAAGGTATATTATTGGCTTCTTTTGCAGGGAGAAGGGAGTCCTGGCGGCAGCATTGCTGGATGGCTGTCACGCATCGCCCTACGGGAATCAGATTTAGGAGCTTCAAGAGCCCTGTGTGTCATGGGCTAGACTCAGAGTAGGAGCAAAATGGAGGCAATCTTGCAGAATTCCCAGATTTCCTCTTGTCAAGAGCTCAGGGGATTGGGAAGTTTAAAAGTCACCTGTAAACTTGGTCAGGCAGTTGGACACATATGTGAGCTATTTGAGTGGGGGACAGAGTTGTATTGGAGTTGTGGTGAACTCATTGTATATTGACACCACTGGGTAAATCACACAATAGTCTCTTGAGATAATTTAAATGGATACTTCCATACATTCACTGCATGGAGCTGAGGCATATTAGCACTGACGATAATTACTAAAATGAACCATTATGTTTGTTTTGAGAGTATGCATCAGAAATATACCCCCCACTGAAAACAAGGTGCATTTTCGTGTATTTTAAAAAAATGTTATTTTCTAAGGTCAATGACTTTGATTTGAAGAGTCTAGAATTTTGTAAACATGAGAGTTGTCTTGATTGTCCAGATACAGCCTACAGATTGAAGATGGGACTCAGCCCCTGAAGTCTGAGGTTGGCAGTCTATTACAAACTGAGCATCCAGGGTATCCTTTCTTGCATGTCAAGTGCCTTGAGTGTTGTGAATATTAGAAAGGGGAAGCCATTCGAGGACCCCAAGAAGGTAAGACTAGCCTCCTGAACATTTTCTCTTTTGAAGTAATGAATTCTTTCTGGAGATTCAATATGAAATGCCTCGTTCCAGGTCAGTGGGTCCTACTAAGCGCCCAGATGTTAAATAAGAGTAATACAGCCCACAGAATAACGTCATGTAGCTCTTCAGAAGGACTTCAAGAAAGTCTTAGTAAATTGAACAAGCACTCTCATTGAAGGAACGATTTCACCAATGGACCGGACTTCCTAATGAACAATTTGAACAAGCCCTCTCTCCCTCTCTCTGACACCAGATCTCCTTCCCGACATAAAACTGTAAAAAAATAATCTGAATTATTACTTCTGTTACAGTGCCATTTTGCTCAAAATAGTTCATTCAGGGATTTGTATATAATTACCCACCTAATAAAAGGAGCTATTAGGTTGTAAAGATTCTATCCTTCCATGCTCTTTTAAAATTATGACCTACTCAAGCTTGAAATCAAAGGCAGAGCTGAAAGGAATAATTCAGCGGAAACTCTCCTATTGGGTTTTCAAGTTGCCTAACTGATAAATATGCAAACTAGCTCTCTTCTGGCGATTCAGCTGCATAAACAGGGATTAATTCCAAATGCAGCTGAAAATTCAGAAACTAAAAGGTTGCACTCAAAATATTCTTAATTTCGCATAGTTCCAAATGGTTGATATACATGGCAATAAAAGCGTAAGATTCTAGCTCACAATGAATGCAGCTTTGACAAGCAGCTACTGGAATTAGGATGTGTCAGAGGTGTCCAGTGGCTTCTTACCCTCTGCTCCTCTCTGACAATGGGAAGCTGGGAGTGGTGGGTGGGAGCTGGGGTGGGGATAGGAGGTTCCCTTGACAACAGGGCCCGTTGGTTGCCACTTACCAATACTGCCCACTCTAAGCCAGTGAGAACCCTGTTGGTGGAAGTGACATCAAGTCACGTGATATTTGAAACTGCCTTCCATCTTCCTTCCCTTCCTCAGGGCCTGTTCTCAAGGAGTCTGCCATTTCTGCAGAAGGTTACAGGGACCTTGGTCAGGAGGCCATGTGATGTGTGGAGCTGGCCCCCTGGCCCAAGGCTGGCTGCCAAGGAGAACTCAGGGAGGGACGGGGAGGACAGGGGAACTCTTCCAGCCAGACTCCTAAGGAAGATGGCCTTGGTGCATCTTTGAAATGTCATCACAGTGTGGTATGGCCTAAAAGCCACCCAAATCGAAGAGTGTCCTATTACGGCCTTAAGCACATAATTACCGCGTGTCTGAGAAGACTGCATATTTTATCCTCTTACAGGAAATGGACTGCTGCCGTGGGTGCAGACTTTTATGTCCCTGTTCTCCAGATGTAATGGTAAGTGTTAACCATGGGTGGATTTATAAATACTCCCTAAAAATGGGTGAATGTTACAGCCACTTGCTAATACCCACCACCTGGGCAAGAGGAATGACCGAGTTACAAAACACAAGCATTTGCTGCCTTTTGTTTGTTTACTTGTTGACTTTTGTGCTGTCAGGAAAACTTCCAATCCTTTGGTGCTATGTCGAGAGAATTCCTGGGGGTGCTTTGAACTTGTAAGTTGCAAATGAAAGAATGACCTCGCACTGGTTTGCCATGGCAGGGTACAGGCTTAAGTAATGCACTTGCATTTTGTAAGACTAGACCTACACATAAGGAGATGACAGGCCTGGATGAAGGAAACATAAGCATTAGTTGTGGCAGTGAGATCACTGCGGCGGGAAAGACCCAGGACTATTCTTGCAGCTTCAGCTCCGACAGTGCGGTGAGGACGAATCCTTGTGTTTGTGGAGGGAACCCATTGTCATCATATTTGAATTCCTGATGCCTGTGCCAGAGGGACGATTACTCCTCCTCCTGCACTGCTTCAGGTTCTTCTGGAACTGAGTGGTCCTGGCGGTTGGCCTGTGCACTGGTGGGAGTTCTTGGACACAGGTGTGCTGTTGATGGGTCATTGATATGCTGCAAAGTTCCCGGAAAATTCACCCCATCTACCCGGCAAGAGGTGTTAGAAGGCCGAGCCTGTGATGGCATTAAGTTGCTTCATTAGCCCTTCCAAACTTGCCATTTGTTCACTCAAATCATCCTGTTCGTACACCTGCAGAAAGAATGAGAGAGCAAAGGGTTAGTATAGGTCAGTGGTCAGCAAACTGCGGCCCCTTGAGTGTGGCTCTTCCACAAAATACCACGTGCGGGCATGCACGTACAGTGCGATTGAAACTTCGTGGCCACACTCAAGGGGCCAAAGAGCCGCATGTGGCTCGCGAGCCGCAGTTGGCCGACCACTGGTATAGGTGAATAGCCACACATTCTTTTGTGAAGACAGGGGCCATGTCTAGCTGGTTCACTCTGTATTCTCAAGGGAGACACAGTGGCCCATAATCAGGGGCTGTGCTCAAAATATAATCATTGATGGGGATACTAGTAAAAGGTGGTGATGAATGATTGCATACTCTTTCACCAGCTTCATCCCTGTAGTGAGGAAGAAGCTTTAGAGTGAAAAAATACCTTGTTTCAAATCAAGATCTAACAATCAATAGCTGTGTGGTCTTGGGCAAGTTAGGGGACCTCCCTGATGGATATTAGTGTATAGTTTTCTGCTATAAAAGGATGATAACTGCATCTACTTTTATAGGCTATTCTGAGCATCTTGTGGCATGTTCAGTGCCTTTCACAGGGTGGCACAAGGTACATATTCAATACACTGGCTCCTTTCCTTTCCAGAGGCCACCATGAGGATCCGAGCAGAATTACATCCCCAGGTTTCTTTTCTTTGTAACAACCTAGGCACCCTTTTGTGTGGGAACTTGATGGGCTTTGCTTTGACCAATGAAAAGTCTGAGGATTATGGCATCAGTTTATATGTGGGAATAAAGAATTCTCACCATAAACGGAGTTGGCTATATGCATAGTTGCAAAGGTAACCTTATGGCAGGATTTTATTGGTGGATAAAATGAAGAGTCTAGACTGCAGGACTCTTAGTAAACATACTCTGCATAGCTCTCACTCACTGTGAGTCACTAGTACCATGTCATTAGTAATACCAGAGTATCAGCTATCAGGGATTTGATTCAGTAGGTCTACAAAGGCTTAGAATCCCTCAATCTCCTCTCTCTCTCAGGGTATCTCATATGTTAGTTCCTTGGCCTTCTTTTAAATGTTTTCTCTTGAATTATATTCAGGAACACTCTAGAGTTTCCTAAACTGCTGCCTTTAGGCAACACCTTTTAAAATACTTTCATAGTACATTTTTGGAAAAAAATGTTGTTCTCTCAAAATTTAGATTATTTTGTCTGCATTGATTTTTCTTTCTGAGTTTTCTAATTTGATTACTTTTTAGCTTCTTCATTTTTATGTGTAATTTCTTCTTCTCAATTCCATATTTCTATTGATGATTTTAAGTGAAATCACACACACACACAGTAAGTCTTCACTTAATGTCATTGATGAGTTCTGCAACTTTAAGTGAAATCACATATGAAGAAACCAATTTTACTATAGGCTAATTGATATAAACAAGAGTTCAATTCCTATGGCATCTCATCAACATTATAACGAAACAACGCTGAAAAAAAATGACATTTGAGGACCTGGGATACATATTATATATAAAAATATAATAACACACAAACACACATATATACACTGAGTGGCCAGATTATTATGACCACCCCATCAGTACAATGAAGTGAATTAGCTATGCAAATAATAATAATAAAACCTCGAGAGTATTTGCTTAGGAAGTTTTCAATATTCAGTATTTTTGGAAGTGTCAATGAAATACTGATGGGGTGGTCATAATAATCAGGCCACTCAGCGTAGATAGCTATTATATAGGTGTGTATGTAAAGTCACACATTCTGTAGCTATCTGCTTGTATTTGTAGGATTGCCTTTAAGTACCAGCAATTTTTAAATTTAATTAAATCCCACATACAATCTTCCCTTAGAGTTCAAACTCTTCACATTCAAGTGCATGAAAACAGAACAAATCAACAGGCAGAGCGACGATGGGTGCGGTTAATCGAGAGTTCTGGTTGGGTTAGGCTCAATTGCATAGCCCTAGTCCCTGCTTCACGTGACGCAGCACGTGAATTTCGGGGGGCAGGTGCCCTTACATTGGCTGGATCTTCTGTTGGTTTGTGGGTCTCCTCAGACACTTCAGGGGCCGTTGGCACAGACACAGGAAGCAAAGGAGACCTTGCCTTCCCGGCCAGCCCAAGAGAGGCCGTCTTCACATGAGTCTTAGGAAGAGCAGGCCCTGGAAGAGAAAACACAGAGACGAAAGTAATGGGTGAAGCAGCCTGGCCCTCAACCTCTCAAGCATGTAAGCCCAATCCAGAGGGTGGGCACTGATCGTAGGCTATTGTGCCTTCTGTAGTTTACAGATGAATTCTGACACAGTGAGTGGGCTCATTTCATTGCTACTAAATGCCCGACGGATTCTGATTCGGCGCCTCCAGATGAAGCTCCAACGTCTCATGTAATTTCAAGTGGATTTCAAATCACACTACGAAAGGTTGCCTGGGAGCTTGGGCTGTGCAGCACACCCTAGAAAGTGTCAGGCCAGCTCGTGTGGTGCCAGTCTCAGCTTTGGGCCAGAAAGCCCGGTATAAACCACCTATATAAGCCCTAAGGTGTCTAATAGTACCAGAGAATATGTGTGCAGTTTAAAGAAATCCTTGCTCTGGCCTATAAATGAGTATTACATATTATAGTAAAAAAAAATGTCCTTCATGGCTAACCCGATAGAATCTCATTACTAATTATCTTTAGGAAAAAAGCAAAATATTATTCTGTCCTGATCATACAGTTTCTCTCAATAAAATACATACCAATGTTCATGCAAATTGTTTGAGGAACTGCTGAGCTACTTCTAGATGACATTTCTGTTTACTGTGAGCAATGGCTACTTTTCCCTTTTGAGTCTGAAATCTGCCTTTTGAACCCTGCTTAGCTTATAGCAAGAATATCACCCTGTCCCTATAGCCTAAATAAAAAGTTTATAAGGGCTAGTATACCTCATGTACCTGAGAATTCTCTTTCTTAGTATTGTAACCGAGACCTAAGCATAGAAGATATTGAACTAAATCATTAAAAGAAGTTTGCCTCGCCCTGGCTGGTTTGACTCAGTAGATAGAGCATCAGCACACAGACTAAAGGGTCCCAGGTTCGGTTCCAGTCAAGGGCACATACCATGGTTACAGCTTCAATCCCTGGCCCTGATCAGGGTGCATGCAGGAGGCAACCAATCAATGTGTCTCTCTCATGCTCTTCTCCCTTCCATTCTCTAAAAAAACTAATGGAAAAATATCCTCGGGGGAGGACTAAAAAAATTGCCTCATTTCTCTTCTATCATCAGTGATGATATTTGAATTATAATGATTCCAATGGCATACTCTATATTTAAGGGGTAAAAGTTGTAAGTTGTTTTGGCCATATTTGGGAATGTAATTCCAGTTAATAAAGCTCAAAAATTATTCTACAATCAGAGAAATAGGGGGCATTTGCTTCTTGGGAAAGGAAAAAAAATGCAAACAGCTTGGCCGGCATGGCACAGTGGTTGAACATCAACCTCTGAACCAGGAGGTCACAGTTCGATTCCCTGTCAGGGCACATGCCCAGGTTTCGGGCTTGATCCCCAACAGGGGGTGTGCAAGAGGCAGCCAATCAATGGTTCTCTCTCATCATTGATGTTTTTGTCTCTCTCTTCCTCTCCCTTCCTCTCTGAAATCAATAAAAAAAATATATATTTTAAAAGAAATAATGCAAACAGTGTAGTAGGCTGGCAGTTTTCTATATGCTAGGCAAAATAAATGATAAATCCTAACAAAAGCACTTTTCTCAGACCGTGGCCTAGCCAGTAATTCCTTCATATTTACATCCTTTCACTCTTTTCTTCAACTTCAAGGACCAAAAGTCTGCAGTTGGGATGATTTATCACTAGAGGGTGATCTATACACCCTCCAAGTCCTATCCAAACAGAACAATTTGAATAAACATTATTGATTTTAATGTGATAAATGCGGTTGTTGGGCTAAAAAAAAGATAGCCACATAAATCTGATACTGACTGCTATGTCACAAGTCATTTTGGATTTGTCACATCTGCTCAGTTTTCACTACCAGTTTTCTCTGGTTGAACAATAGGCAAACCTTCATTTTTCCAGAGACTAATGGCAGCTGGTCTTCACTGGAAGTGAGCAAACCACTTGTATATTAAGTCTACTTCTATCCTTTTCTCTTCAGTCTCTGACTATAAACATACTGCTCCCGTGTGTTTACAGTCCCAAGCTGTAGACCCACATACAAAGGCAGGCACTAAAACCCTGCCAGAGGCGCTAAGAAAGGGACTCTAGATGCTCTAACATATGCAATCACATTAATGTTGTAGGTGATTAGTTAAGTCTAAGGGTTAAGAATTTAAAGGGGAATTTTCAGAGAGTATTGGGGAGGCTTAGAATATATCTACGGAACTCCCACTGTGAGTTGCAATGCTGCGACCCTTTACTACAGTTCCTCATGTTGTGGTGACCCCCAATTTCATTGTTACACATTGAACAGAATGAAAGCATAGTGATTAATCACAAAAACAATATGTAATTATATATGTGTTTTCCAGTGGTCTTAGGCGACCCCTTGTGAAAGGGTTGTTTGACCCCCAAAGGGGTCGCGACCCACAGGTTGAGAACCGCTGTAGTGTTCACAATGTTCTGCTTATACTTGAGTTTAGTTTTATTGCCATGGAAAGCTGCTCCTCCTAGCACACTCCAGGAGTCATCTCTTCCTTTCCTGTGTTTCATAGAACAGCTGCATTTTAACAACACTTCCTGTACATGTCTTTTATCTTCATAGTGTTTGCTACAATTTGGAGTCATCTCTTCCTTTCCTGTGTTTCATAGAACAGCTGCATTTTAACAACACTTCCTGTACATGTCTTTTATATTCATAGTGTTTGCTACAATTTGGACTCAGGGTTCCTGGATGGTGAAACCCATTTATTTATTTTTTAAAAATTTTAACTAAACTATTTCTGAAAAAACTATAATTTAACTCTTAATGAAACACATGGACTGTGTGTTTAACATATACTGCAAATCAATTCATTTAACCTAGATATATACAAAGGGAGTGACACAAGAAAAAGCAAATGGTATGAGCGTAGCTGATTATATAGGAAATTCAAATTCTGTGCCTTATTTTATACCAGGAAACGTATAAGAATAAAGATTCTTTTAGATTTCATCAGACGGTTCTAAATAAATTCTTAATATTTATTTGACTAATTTTTGTAGTTTTATATGTAGAGAAATTATAGTTCTTATTATAAAAATATATTCTGATGATATATTTTCTGCCCAGGATCCTAAACACTTGTGTAGATTCACAGTGCATATACTGTGCATATGCAGGTTATGCCTTAAGAGCACCATAACTCAAACCCAGTAAAGAGAAGGTCATTATAATAATTGATTGTCTCTAGTGTCCAGGCAACAATTATACTTTAAGAACCTGCTGAGTGTTGAACAATGTACAAGACGCAGTGCATTTTGCAAAAGGAATTGAAGACATTGTCTTGGCTCAAAGACCACACAATGTGTTTAAACCTCAAGTGACTGCCTTTTCTCAAGTAACATTCACACATTCAAAGAAATTTAGAATGCTGAAACCTCGCGGGCTCTTTATTTTGTTGAAGAGAACAGGGAGGTCCCTGGAGATCAAGAGATCAAGGTAGAATTAATTTCAATTAAATTCCAGTACAGGAGGAGAATTTAAACACTCTTAGAGCTCATTATTAGCAAGGTTTTTCTAGTGTACTATATGCCCTTAAATATTTTTCTTTTCTTTTAATGAATGGAAGTCAAAGAAAAGACTACAAGGAAACTTTCCCAGGAGATATTATCAACAGCCAATAAGACAACCTAGGTCTCAAAATGACCTTTTAGTAGAAGGGAATGGATGTTTTAAAACAAAGTTTCTCTTGAAATCACCCTGTGTTGGCAAGCTGACACCAGGACGTGGCTCTTGGGTGAGCACTCACTCTGACCTACACTGTGGAGTTATGCTGGTATTTGGGGAGCTTCAGCATTTTCTGTTCTGAACCCCAGAAGCTTTAAGCTTGGCAAAGCCCAGGTCCTTACAAGCCCACCAAGCTGTGTTCTTGCCTTCACTTATGTACAGTAGTTCACCAGTATTACTGTCCCCTGTCCTGATTCCTGTTCTCCCACTGGTCTGTGGGACATGCCTTTAATCCTTCACTTCATGCCCGAGACCTCATCAGTGGCCTTTCCAAAAGGCTAAATTCTGAACCCATTTTCTACACCATTGAAACCAAACAAATATATATACATATATGGCTAATATGGTAAATATCCTTCCCATGGTCTGACTGGTCTCTATGATGAACACTCACCACCAGGGGGCAGATACTCAATGTAGGAGCTGCCTTGACACACACTTGCCATTTATAGAGAAATGGCAGCGTGAACCTGGCCGACAAAGCAACACTCGGCTTCCCCCAAGCGGGACACAGGCTCTGCCACCACCCTGGAGCAACAGCCCACCGAATCCCAGCAGAGGCTGCCAAGACTCCATGACCAGCCCAGAAATGGTG